TCATACTCCCTGAGTTACTCTTAGGTTATAGATGTGTGTAGTAAAGCGTTGGGCCTGCTGGTGGGTCATGGCCATTTAAGGGGTTAAATGGTAGAGAAACACAAACTATCTTTATTTGTAACAAAATGTACATCTTTATTTTATTAGTATTTGTTAATTGAAGTTTGTTTCTCTTGTACATAGGTATTTATTGTTTTGCTGGTAATCTTAGCATGTATTCAATTTGGGTGGATGGGGGCACTAAAATTTATATAGCCCTTTGACTGTGTTTAACTCTGTTTCTTTTCTCTGGGTATCAACATGGACTTTTGTTTCTAGTAGAATCTGAGCTCAGGACGAGCTTTCTCTCTAACCTATTTGTAACTAGCAAAGATTCTTTCTCTAGATAAACAAAGCACTTTTTCTAAGTCACTATGGATAAGAGCATCTGCCAAATGCTGTAAATGTAAATGTAAAATGTCAAGAAACAGCCCTGTGTAATTACATAATTGCATAGTTAAGTAATGAATTATCTTTCCATTTTCTTTATGTTACACAATTTAATGCAGTTGCATATATATAATCACTTAGTCATATAATGAATTATATTTACACTCTTTTTATATTCTGTAATAGTTTTGAGTCTATATATCCAACTTTTACTGTTTGCCTTGATGGCAAATATGTAAAGTATGTTTTAATTTCTGTAAAACAAAACTGTGCTAAACCCAAATGTGGGATTGGTTGAAAGTTTAGAATCTACCCTGCTAGAAAAACCAGCAGCAATGAAAGATGATATGCTGATCACCACGAAAACCAGCATATGTTTTGTTTTGATCCTGGTATGCTGGTCACCCAGGATGACCTTACTGGGGTTGCTTGCTTGCTGGTCTGTGCTATTTTTTTTCAGCAGGGTACACTTTGCACAGTACTTTTCAATATGCAGCAGTAATAAATCAAATCCTACCTTTTTCTTGTGCTTTATTTTCTCCCTGCTGGCCACTTACAAAATTTCTCTGTATTTATTTACACAAAAAAGAGTCATAATTCATGTCTACATGACCATTTTCCAACCTCTTTTTATCCCTTAGAATTAAACAGGCTGTTTTTGTTACTGCTTTTAAGACTATCTATGTAAATGAGCTCTGTTCTGATTGGCCCTGGCTGAAACGCTCCTTCGGCATGAACAGACTTGTGTAAACTGCTGTAGGCCGAATAGTCCTATGGATGTGTTGCGGGGTAGAGCTAAACTCCTTTAGGCTGAATAAGTGTATAAATGTAAATATATTGAGTGGGTGGAGCTAAACTGCTATTGGCTGAACAGGTGGACATATGTAAATATGTTGAGTGGGTGGAACCAAAGTGCTGTAGGCAGAGTAAGTGTATATTTGTAAATGTGTTGGGGGTGGAGCCAAAGTGCTGTAGGCTGAATTGGTGGATATATGTAAATATGTTGAGTAGGTAAAGTCAAACAGCTGTTGGATGAATAGGTCGGACATATGTAAATATGTTGATTGGATGGAGCTGAACTGCAGTAGGCTGAATAATTGGATATATGTAAATGTGTTGAGGGGCGGAGCCAAACTGCTGTAGGCTGAATAGGTGGATATATGTAAATATGTTGAGTAGGTAAAGTTAAACAGCTGTAGGCTGAATAGGTTGGACATATGTAAATATGTTGACTGGATGGAGCTGAACTGCCATAAGCTGAATAGGTGGACATATCTAAATACATTGAGGGGGTGGAGCTAAACTATTGTAGGCTGAATAGGTGAATATATATAAATGCATTGAAGGGCCAGAGCTTAACTGCTGTAGGCTGGACATATGTAAAAAGGATGAGTGGGCGGAGTTAAACTCTTGTAGGCTAAATAGGTGGATAAATGTAAATGTGTTGAGCAGGTGGAGCTATTGTTATGTAGGCTGAATAGGTGGATATATTTAAATGTGTTGGTTTTCGTGACATCACAGAAACAATTTATTAAAAACAGGCTGTTTTTGCAGTTTAGTTTCCACATAAAAGACTGTATGGTCTGAATGGTATGTTTTGAAACTTAAATTCTACATCAAACTCAACTCAACTTATTTAAAAAGTGAGGAAAATTCAGATTTTTATGATTTGGGCTCATTTATGTACAATTATAATATGTTTTACTGCTGCTTTCATTAACTACAGCTTCTAAGAGTTGAACACTAAGATGCATTTACTGATGACCCCTTGATTCAGAAAGAATTTCCTCTGTTGCTTTTCTTCCGGAACCTACAGTTCTGGCCCAGACGTGGACTGTAAAACGATACATTTACCAGCAGTGCTGAGCCAGTTAGGACTCATTAGCCTAATTACAAACTTCATGTGAAACGTTCTGCATTTCATTGAAAAACTGCTGGGGTTTCTGAGTTCGGCTTTTTCTCCCACCTGTTTCCTGTTTGTATCTATTTTCGTATGTGTATTTGTGTGCGTGTGGTGGGTGGGGGGCTGTTATAAGACTAGAAAACCCAGTGATAGCATCAGATATTGCAGTATAACTCTCAAATCAACAGTTCAATTGGACCATGCCCTGACGCATTGCTGCCTGCTCTCTTTGACCCAGCAGCTGTTCATGAAGAGCAACCATCAATAGGTTAGAAATCCATACATACAGAAATGGTGGATATAAAAAAGTATGACTGTTATGGTTGTTAGCGATAAAAACGACTTGGCACTCTGACCGAGTCATCACTCAAAAGTTGAAGGTGGGAAGCATCAGACATTGGAGCAGAAACACTTGACCAGAAGCTACTGATAATAGTAAGGCATTCCAGCTGGCTCTGAAAGGAATAGTTCTCTGAAAAATTACATTTACACAGCTTTCCTCTTAAACCAAAAGTAATCGATCAGCCAAGATATGGTTAGTGTCCAAAGTTTCTTTAGTTTTTCACGTGTTCAGACACTTCTGTTTCCGTTGTTTAATATAATTCCAGAGAATCTACATTTACACACATAATGTCTTTAGCCTTTCTGCTTAGACATATGAACAAGATCATGTATTCAGGCTCAAAATGAAAGCAGTAAGGTAAAAAGTATTCAGACAGCACAAATTAATAACATCAATACTTTTTTGCCAAGCTGCTGTCAGCAATTGCTGCTTTGCTATGTCCATAGTAAGGAGTAATTTGCTTTTCGCAGCACTGTGGTTCAGGTTTGGCCTGTTCCTCTCAGCAAACCATCTTCAGTACTCCACAGTAACACTCCCTCTAACTGACAACTTGAAAAACCTACATAAACTTTCAGTGAGGCTCAGTCAGGAGATTGGCTAGGCCATGTAAGCGTCTTCACCTTCTTTAGAATCCAGTCTTGAGTTGTTTTGGCTGTATGTTTAGGGTCATTGTCTTGATAAAATGTCTGTTCAATCTTCTCCCCAGATTCAGTTTCCTGGCTAATGAGATTAATTCTCCTCTAATATTTCCCTGTACATTGCTCCATTCGTGTGTCCTTTAATGGTGTGTAATGTCTCAGTACCATTTGCAGATAAGCAGTTACATATCATGATGCTCCCACCTTCATACTTCAGCAGGTCTTCTTGGCATCACATGCACAACTCTTTTTCTCCAAACATGATAAGCTGAATTTTTGCCAAAGAGTTCTATTTGTGTTTCATCTGATGAAAGAATATTGTTCCAAACAGTTCTGATTTGTCTAAATGCTTGTGTGCACATTTTAGATGTGCATCTCTGAGCTTCTATATTAGCAGAGGAGTTCAGCGTGGGGTGTAGGAACTGAGATGACAGCGCAGCTCACTGCTTATTGTTCTCTGTGTAACTGTTGTTCTGCTGCTTTCAGGTTTCTGAGTGACTGCAGGCTTTTTTCTTACCTTCCTGATAATTAGTCTGAGAGAACATGGCGCACCTGTGCATGAACTTCCATTAATGTTCCGCTTGCATATTATCAAACTTTGTACTGACAGGGATGTTTAAGGTCTTTGCTATGGCTCTTTCCATTCCAGCTTTTATATTCCAGTGTTATTTAATAATGTTCTCCCTGAAAACTTAAGGAAGCTCCTTCACCTTCACTATGATTGCTACTTGTTGTGTGAAATCTTCCCAAACAAGGGCAACATCTGTTATAATAACACCAGGGTCTGCGCAGCATTAATTTCTAGAAATCGCTGTATTTTTATGTAAGATTTACATATACAGTCATCTGCAAAAACTGCAACACCCCTGATCAAATTATGTTTTGTTGATTTTCTATGCACATGTTCATTAGTACACAGAAAACAAACATCTGCAATCTTTTACTGCACAATTTCCATTTATTTGTTGGATTCAACATATTAAAAGTATAAAATGCCACCTGTGCAAACTGTATGAAATTATTCTGCAGGTAATTTTAGTGCAAAATTTTTATTCATTGTTGAGTTCGACATAAGGGAAAAATATATACATTTACATAAATACATTTTTGCACAGGCTACATTTTGTTTTTTTTTCCCAATATGATAAATTCGACAAATAAATAGTAATTGTCCATTAAAATGCTCTGTGCTCTCAACAATTCTTTAAATATAGCTGTGTTTATGCTTATGAATACAAACTTTTGGTTCATATGTGTGAATACAAGTCAAAAGACATTATATAACAAAAACAAAAGTGTCTAAACATTCACAGTATGAGGCTAGTTTTGCTAACAACTAAATTAGCATTTAGGTTTAAGCATGTTGTTTCCCTGATGCTATGCTTTAGCTATATTGCTTGTTAGCTACACTAGCAAGTTAAAAACAGAAGAAGAAAATAAAGTAGGAAACTTTGGACATCAAACATGTCTTGGTTGATGGACTATATTAGGAATAAGGGTGAAATTGTGTATATTCAAGTATATTCAACTTTTCATCAAACTGTTCCTTTAATGCAACTCCACACTAGTATCTTCATTCTTAACACAGATGTCAAGCTAAAATCTCTCTCTCTCTCTCTCTCTCTCTCTCTCCTTCCTGTCCCCTCCACCCTCCACACTTTCCCAGACCTTGTACTGACAACAGCTGTGGGTTATTTACACAGCTATGGGGAGGGGTCTGCTGATCTATTGGTTGCAGCGGCAGAGATCATTCACCAGGGAATAAGTCAGGGGTGGAGGGACAAAAAAGGCATAAAAAAACCTCAAAAAGTTCACGTGCAACCCATCTGACCTAACCACATACGAATGCAGCAGTGCTAAGAGTTAAGCAGGCAGTTTTCTCTCTCTTTTCTTTCCCCGAAAGATGAAAAAAAAAGCAGCTTCCTACGTGCTAAGCTGTCTAAGGAAGCATTTCCTGGCTTTGTAGCGGACTAGGCAGGAGCAGAGGGACAACTTGTTGCTTTTCAGTGGAAGTTGGTACGTTGGACCTCATTTGCATCATTATTTTTCTTTAAATACATGCATGTTTTAATGAAATGTTACTCTGAAGTATTTAAAGAGTAAAAGCTAACATTGTGTTTCAGTCATGACTTCATGAGGAAGCAAGAAATATTTTGTTCAGCAAATTTACTCTTATGGGTCATGTTCATTTTCTGAAATGCTGGTATAAAATAGCATGCAAATTAGCAGGGAAAAGTTTGAGGAATTGAAACTCCATGAGTAAAATGAGTGCCAGTTGGGTGAAATGTTACTAAAGCTGGCTGCAGACAGCCTGTTCATAACTGCTAACAGTTGTGCATGACATTTGTTCTGCCACTTGAGGAACTTGAGCAGCACTTCGCAATGCCTGAAGGTTTGAATCAGGAGTGTATGCCTGCCAGAAAGTCTTCAGGCACACCATGAGATTAAGTTTATGGTATAACTCTTAGATACGGTTTATTTTTCCATCAATCGTCCAGTTCATTCCACGCTATTTTAAATAAACAACTGATTATTGTCAGGTTGGACTTTATTAAGCTGAATTGTGGAAATTTTGCAAAATGTCCAAATAATTAAATGATCACGATGTAAGGTAAGTCATTCGGAGTGGTTTGGTGTGAAATGCTCTGTTCTAGAGAAATGTACAGAGTCAGAATTGTTCACAATGGTGGTGATAGAAACCAGATGTCCACCTCTAAAAGCTCCCTCACAGAAAGTTATTACATGAAATGGTTATGAATACACTGCCCATTGTTTTACAATAGTTTTGAGACAAGTTTTTGGCCATTTATGGTGGAGGGGTACATGCAGGGTGTTGTAAGGCAAAATAGCACCCCCAAACTTATTTTTTAGATTTACTGCTATTAACATTCATATAAAAACTCAAAAGACGTGTAGCTTCACTGGTGGTTTTGGATAGTAAATAAAATGCCTGTGTTTGTGTTTTAGACATGGTGACCCCTGGTTCCTATCACCACCGCTGTAAAGAAATCTGAGTCTCTACAATAAACCATTTCACACAAAATCACTCTGAATGACTATACACTTCAGTAAAAAATTTGAAATGTCCACTTCTAAAAAAGGGGGCCTCACCAACATAGTGTTTGCTCGATGCCATTGGACAATACTGACAACCCGCAGTTTTGTTAGTTTCAGTGAAAATATCATTGATAACACATTAATAATTAGCCACTTTTTTGGTGGCATCACTAGGATTCAAAACCACAAATAGTTGTGCCGTTTGGGTACAAATGATGAGTCACTCTGTTTAACTATATGGCAGCAATATAGACTAAAAATAAGAAAAATAAAAGATAAGGAACAGAAATCAAAACAGCAAGGAATTAAGGCTAGTCCTGCTCCCAGTCTTACAATATTTACATTATATAAGACTGTGAGTTTCTACTATTATTTGGGGTTAAAGACAATGCAAAGACAAAAATGGACCTCATGTCTCTGGTTATTCTACACAAGATTCATTATATCATTCCATTTAAAACCTTGGTTTACTTTAATCTTACATAATAATACCTATAATATAATTTTTCACCTCCCCCTCCCACAACCCCCACCTATAATTGAGCGACAATGCTCAGCTAGCTCAGAGATCCTCCCTGATACTGTGTTGGAACTTAGAACTACATCATGCTAAAGAAGGAAAACAACTTTTGATTTCTTAGTCTCATTAAATTTAAGAAGTGCAACAACAGTAAAGTGCTGTTTAAGTAAAACCTCTGCAGTACTAAATTAAAATCTAAAATTGAAATATAAAACTATACAGAAATTCACAGAATATTTGGCCCCCTAAAATCTGTATTATTATCGACTGCACAATTTTCATCCGGACAGGCCGTACACATAATTGTTTAATGTACTCACTAAACAGTTATTTTCCTGCATCAGAGACAGCAATTCAATACAAGATCTACATAAGCCCATCATTAGTCATGTGTCAATGGTTGATTCATTCACTGGTGAAGTTAATCAGGGTTTCCACCAGTTCAGTCCCTTACAACACAGACTATGCTATCAAATATCCAGTTAAAGTTTACTGTATAACTGTTAAGTAGGGCCCAGTATCAACAGCTATCAGGTTTCTGTTGTGAAAGGGGAGTTTCACTGTAGAGTAGTGGCCTCCAGCCCTTGAGGGCTGCCTTCCTGCAGAGCCTAGTTCCAGCCACAATTTGGCACACCTGCTCCAGCTAATCAACCTCTTCCCAAGTCCCTGATTGGTTGGATCAGATGTACTAGAGTCAAGTAAGGGACTGGGAAGCTTATTGCATACAGGTTGGAACTAAACTCTGCAGGAAGGTAGCTCTCCAGGACCATGGTTGGAGACCACTGCTATAGAACAATTTAACGCGAATTGGGCAGAGATAAAGTCAAACATGAAAACATTTGGCCACCCCACCTAGGAATCTCAGCTGTTTTGGGCATTTGTGACAGTCTTTCATTTGACAATATTTTTCAACTCCAGCCCCAGAAGCCCACTTGTACTGGTTTGGAAAACACTAAACTGTGGAGTGCAGGTGAGCTTCCTGGACTGGAGTGGGGAAACAGTACCCTAAAGCAAGCACATGTACTAAGAAGGCCAGCTAAAGGGAATTTGGTATATGTTCCTAAATGGTTTTTATCTTGGATATATGGATATATGGACACATAGAATGTAAAGCCTCTATACCTTTGATTGACGGTGTTCTTGTAATAACAAAAGCATAGTAGTTTGATATTCATTCTCACTCACAACTTACTGAAACAAGCCCAGAAAGTCTGCTGAAAGTTAACATGAAATGAATGCCAAATCCGTGTTTATATGTAGAAGAGGAGATGCTTTTTTGATTTAAATTTGCTGAAAAGTTATTGTTGTGTATAGATCTTCAGGCAACTAAAAGAATCATTTTTTGGCATTTCTGCAAAGAGTGTAGCAATAGGCCTACAGGCTACACCCATTTTCAAACGAAAACGATTTGGCCACTTCACTAATGTATCCAGACACCTGTTTCCTGCAGATAAAAGAAATACATCCTGCCATAGACTCACTGAAGAGTCACTTTCACAGTGCATCCAGCTGATATAGTGTATCATCCAGTCTATAAAATACTGAAGAAATGTTCAAGCTAAAAACCATAAGATGAGAGCAAGTTTGTGTCTCACTAGGTTGCACTAGCTTGTTAAAACTCCAGGCCTTTAATGCCTTTGGCTGATTTTATAGTTAACAGATGTGTAAGTTAATGGATTCTGAGGATTTATAGATCCATAGGGAAATAATGAAATTGTAACAATTCCATGCTGGTCTAAATTGGTTTATGCTGGCCTGGTGCTGGTTTAGCTGGTCACCCAGCATGGTCTTTGTGGTTGACCAGCATACCAGCATCCAGAACACAACATTTGTTGGCATTGCTGGTGACCAGCACATTAACACCTATTGCTATTGACCAGCCTACCAATTTTCAAAACACAACATATGCTGGTTTGTGCTGGCTTTTTTTTAGCAGGGAGGTGGGATATTCATGAAAAGCCAAGTCTCAGTGACCCAGTCCGGTGCAAAGAGGTGGGTTGAGGCTTAAAGTAAATACTTTTATGAATACTTTATGCTAAACTACCTTAAACCCCTTTCATAGGTCTGCACAAGTTTGCATATTTAAAAATTCTTGTCCTCATTTTTCATGTTTGTCATGATTTTCATGTTGTCCTTTTTGTTTGTCATTTGCAGATAATCTGCTACAGTGTTGACAGTCAGTGAGTAGCATCTAAAATTAGAAACTGTAATGTCCCTTTCAAGTGTTGCAGAACAAAAATCTCACACTAAAATGTTAGCCAGGTAGTAATGTTACAATTTATTCTCTTCATTGTGTGCTATGTGTGTTCTGCACTGCTATGGTGGAAAAATGATGTTTTTGCTGCTGAGCACACAGGTGATTAATTATATAGTGATATAAAGATATAAGTCCAGTGATTTATTTTTATTGTTTTTAAACTTTGTGGAAGTGTTCTGCAAAAGTTTACCCTGCTAGAAAAACGAGCATGGCTAGTCACCGGACAAACCTGTATATGTTGTGTTTTGGATGCTGGTATGCTGGTCAACCAGAAAGACCATGCAGGGTGAATAGCTAAACCAGTACCAGACCAGCATAAACCAGCTTTTTCTGGTTTAAACAAAAACTATTAACAGTTCTTTCATTTAGTTCTAACTGATTACCAACTGAGAAAGGAGGCAAAGAAATACCATTTCTGTCCAGAATTAAGTATGTTTTAGTTGTTTTTTTCCAGCTATTCAATGGAGGTTCATTTCTGCTAAATGAGCTGTTTCATTACGACTAGCAGCAGTTGTCAAAAGAGTGACATTATCTTGAAATAATTATTTTTCTTAAAATCTTGGCTTATTTTCTAAAAGTAATGACTTATTATCTTGAAGCTCACTTCCGCAACATCATCAGTAAATGCTTAAGAATCAATATGATGATATGATATTGTATTATAAATTACATCATGCTAATAAATTGAATAATAAACTAGACTTTTTGCTAAGCATTTTAGCTGTACGTCGTCATATATAACAACCATGAGATGTCTGAATTCTGTACTCCATCAGAGGGGAGTATAGAGCCTATGTCTTATGTTTTGGTCAGAGTTTGGTTTGTATCTGTTTAGACCAGGGGTCAGCAACCCACATGTTAAGATGAGCCATTTTGTCCTTTCAACAAAAATCAATCCACTTTGGGAGCCACAACATTTTATGTCCATTGAATTGAAGTAATGTTTTACCATCTTTGCTGTAAATATGTCTCAGTATGTGCTAATGTACTAGAATAGACTAAAAACATAATATAAACAAAAACACAGACTAACTTTGCTCTGGTTTAAGCATTCGGACAGCTATGGCTGCGTTTCTCACATCTCCAGCAGGATATTTTCCACAGAAGTAGAATAGTTTCTTGGAAAATGTCTCTCAATGTTCAACTTTTTATGAGGCTGAAGTCGGCTTCTCATTCGCCAGCTTCTTGTTTGAATTTTCCCATTCCACCTTAAATGGAGAATGTAACTGATGCACCATTTAAGGTGGAATGGGAAAATTCAAACAAGAAGCTGACTTGAACTTCGCAACTTTTTAGTGGTCGTCAGTTTCCCATTGCAGATTAAATATATCAGCAAACCAGCTGATTGTTTATAAATGAAAAGTCCATTCATCTCCAAATTATCAAGGTTCATTTTAAATCTTTCTTTTCTTTGTCCTTTTGTTAGCTACTAGCTAGGCGAGATTGTTATCTGCGTTGCTATGTGACCTGCAGTCTATGTGCAAATCTTCAGGGTTAAAGGGTGGTAACTTAGCAGATATACATTAATTATGGTGTTTAAGACCATGTATTGTTAAAACTGTGTTAAACGTGTGTGTTAGAATGCTCAGCAAAGCTTTATTTTACTGCAAAGGAGGATTATTTTATTATTGCCTAAAAAATCTAATACTGCTGTTGGGCCACAAGAGAGCAGTAAAAAAGCCGCATGTTGCTGACCCCTAGTTTAGATCAAAGAAGGAAGACAGACTACTGCAGCCAGCTAAAGGCTTTGCACACTGGACAAGAAACCCAGAAGACAAATGACTCTCTCCACACACTTGATGTTTTTGGTCTAAAAGGTTACGAGGTGAAATAAGTTATGATGTGAAAGAAAATTGCTTATCTTGAAGATTTTAGATTGGCTCCCTTTCTCATTGTATATTTTAAAGCACACCACCTGCTATGGATTTGTGGTCTAGGTTTAACGTAGTCCTTGAGGTTGCTTGTCATCCCCCTCTTCCTGGAGGGATTATTGATAAAATATTTCATCCACAACTGATGAATCACTATATCGATCAATCACTGATGTAAGGAGTCTGTGAGAGCATAATTGGCCTTGTTTCACTGGATGAAGTGCTGGATAGTATGTAAAATGTTAATTGTAAAAAAAATCATTGTACTATCAGTTTTTGACAGTTTTAAATGTGGCACCACTGGTGCACTGCCTCTACTCAACTTGGCAGACCTCATGAAAACAAAATACTGTAATACATGTTACATAATACATAAAACATAATGCATAACATTGTCCACCCCTCCTTTGCAGGAGTAGATTGTTTGATAGTACAGCTGGCTTGAAATCAAACAGGAAGCAGGACTGAGGGACCTGGTGCCAGGTGAGTGAAGGCAAATAACAGAGTTGGACAGACTGTGATAAGACACTTGCTCTAATCTCCCTTCACTTCCTGTGTTTATTAGCTGCCTTTAAGGTCTGCAAGGTTGCAAGGTTGATTGGAAACAAAGACCGATGGGATCAGGTTCACTCGATCTTTATTTGAGACAGCAGAACTCTGAGCTAGTGTCTGAACAATGCAGAATAGTGAATTTTCGTTTAGCGCGCCACTCGCAGACTAATTAGTGCTCCATTAACTGTTCCGCACTGGTTTTTACACCTCTGGTAGATGAGAAAAAACAACAACATGAAAATAGAATTAACAAACCAATTATGGTATTTGTGACATCCCTCAGGCCCAAACTATTTTTAATGGTATTGCAGTTGTTATTGCTGTGTTTTTCAATATTCCCACCTTTGGGTCAAGTATTAGAAATTAATTAAATCTGGAATAAGGGGAACAGGGCCACAGGAAGCTTCAGGGTTGTTTAACTGCACCTACAAAGTTATAACAATAATAATAATAATAATAATAATAGTAATAATAATAGTATTATGTGAATTATAAATATGTGAATGTGATTTTTGTATGTTTATATTTTGTTTATATTTTAGCACTGAAGGCAGAGCTTCCCAGCATTCTTAGCAGTTTTGTTGGTATCTGTTAACCTTTAAGGTCGCCCCAAAGTGTCTACATTTTCAAAGCTGTTGTTTTTAATACAAGCAAACACGTCGCTGCTGAAATTTGGCGTCAACACATGCCACCAATTGGTGACTCCACTCTTCTGTTTCTTTAAGCACCACAGCACTTGAAGTTCACACTAAAGAAGACAGTCAAGTTAAAATCTTTAAGATTAATGAACATCTGCTACGTGACGCTACACTACGTGATGCTACGCTATGTGATGCTATGCTACATGACACTATGCTACATGACACTATGCCACGTGAGGCTATGCTAGGTGACGCTATGCTATGTGATGCTATGCTACATAATGCTACACAGTGTGCGGTACCCTTTAGAGCCCCACAGGGATACTATACATTTTACTGAAAAGCCAATGATTTGTCATGGAGAGATTTGGTAAAATGTGTTACATTCCTGAGACTTTACTAGGAAAATTGCTTCGAAAAAACTGTAACTAACTGTCAAAGGTCAAAGTAAAACTAGGCTACACTGGTTCGTTAACATCACACACACACTTTTATTGGTTTCTGCTTATTTTGCTTATTAGTTAGAGAAGCTAGTGAGATCATGCATTTCACCTCATCAGTGTCAAATATTTGGATCCAAAAGCCAATGGGAATAACACAGCAGTACATCCTTATTTACACTCTGCCAAAGACTGCGGTGGACGGAATAAAGCCTCCAAAGCTTCCTATAGGCCCCATAAATGGTGCCTATGAGGACTCTATTAACACATATAGATCATTACCAGTGTAGCCCCACCCATTCACACTAACAATGTAAGGAGTTTTTCAAGATACATTTGGGACTTTTAACTAAACTTGGACTAAAATACTTTTTCTTTGAGTGACCCTCTGCCTTAATTATGTTTATTTTATTAAAACAAATGATTGAACATTCCATTTTGTCACTAACAAAACAATCTTAACACTACCGAAACTTTACCAAATGTTTCAGTAGTGACTGTTTTGGTAGTGACAATTTTAGCCCATTTTGAGCAAAACTCAAAAATGCTAGCCAGTACATGACAAGCAAACACAGCTTTAATCAGTTGTACACACATAAAATCGTGTTAAATATGTTCCAGAATTAGACTGCAGATAGAAAATATGAGCACATTCGTGGGTTGTTGTTACACATTTCTTTACTGAGCATTGCTAAATAACAGATGCGAGTAACATTTAGGTTCACAGCTCTGAGTGCTCAGTGCTCTTGGAAAGGAAAAGGCTAACGTAACCTTTCAGCCATTTCCTCTCTCAGGCTCCATTGTGATTTGAGATCCAAGTGAAATAATTCTTCGCTTCTCTCTCGACAGGCACCATATCATCTATAAGCACTCACTCCCTCTCTCTTCCTCTCTCTCTCTCTCTCTCTCTCTCTCTCCCTCAGCTGTGCCCTTCAATCTTTCTGGGAGACGTTTCCACACATGCTGGTGAAGGAACGCTCTGCAGAAATGGCTTTTAATAAAAGCTCTGCTGAATACAAAGATGCGTTCACCAATATGAGTAAGTAATATGGAGTTTTGTGCACTTAACATATTCAGGCTGGGACTGTGGTGTCTGCAGTAGGACTGTCCCCTTTAAGTTGGATAGTTGAATAATCAATCAGAAGGATCCTGTTTGTATTTACAGTGAGGGGAAATAAGTATTCAGACACTTTTGTTTATGTTATTTGACATACTTCCAGTGCATACACCCCCTTCAAATTTACACACATATTCATCAAAGTAGTGTATGGTTGAACCTGATCCCAAAACGAAGGCACACAAATTTCACCGACAGCTTTGTTATTCATCAGTTTTGCTTTTATCATATCTTTGCGATCAAATTCTCTCTCGATCATCAGGTAGGAGGGCGTAAACTTGAGCATAACAGTTTAACAACCGGAATAAATGCTTAATTTGTGGCTAACTAACCAAAACTATTATCAACATAATCTATGATACCAATAATAAGAATAAAAATAGAATATAACAATAATAATAGGGAGGTGTGCTGTATAAAATTGAATGTACTTATTTTACATAGACGCTGGTATAAACAAATGTTGCAGTTATACCACTGACTCCACCCACAAAATAAACAATACAAAACACAGCATCATGCACTGCAATAATATAGCATTTAAAAATATATTTTTTACACTACACATTCATATCATTCCACTGTCTTAAAAAATGAAGACGTTTCATTTATTTCAAATTTTATTTGTAATTTTAACAATATGAAGCTTGGTCAGTAGGTGGAGCAGTGCACGCCTACGAGGATTGCCATTTGCCAAGAGCCACTGAATGCTGTTGTTTTATTGGCTCCCTACCGAAACATCTGCATGAATTAGGATGTGCTTCATGTACAGGATATGTAAATGAAGTACTAGTAAGCTGGCGCTTGATTTCACGCACTGAAGCTGATTCATCATTTGTGCTAAAATCTCTGATCATTTCCACATCGTACAAAAGTTTCATGAATCAGACGCAGAGAGGATTGTAAGTCATGAAAAGCAGAGCAATTTGCACTAATATTTATGGAACTTTGATGAGTAACAGCCAGTGTCTTTCAGGGAGACTTTTAGTCAAAAATCAGGCCTTCTGGTCAACTAAGAAAGTTCTTAGGTGGGTACGGCCTAGTGTGCAGACATCTGTGCTTGTGTGTCCATGTATATTTCTGCATTTTATACAGGTGTATGCAGATGTTTGGTCACTCTCTGGCCAAATGACACATTTTGTTGGTTTGCAGCAAAAATATGTTTTATGTTAAGTAAAAAAAAAATCAAATTGTGGCATACGCAAAAGTTTGGACACCGTTCCAGTTGTAAAGATTTAGAACACATCAGTTAGACAATTCTTTATTGACTCGTTAGGACTGGCACATTAGGAGTTGTCAGCTGATGACAATTCCAGAGCATGATAAATTCTTTGACTCTTCAAACTTTGAAACTCATTATAGGAGAGGCCTATAAAGAAGATAGGAGAACACTAAGTGACTGTGTGTGAGTAACTGTGCATTAACATTTCCAGAAAAACATTTATATATATATATATATATATATATATATATATATATATATATATATATATATATATTGCTTCAGAGGCTCCATTTACATCTTGTCACTTCGAAAATCAACAAATTCAGCCAGGGTGCACAAACTTTTGCATACAACTGTATGTGTACATTAGTCTGTCAGCTGTTCATATCTGGAATTCCAAATTCAATACATCCTTAAGTAGCTACAAGTAAGTAGCAGGAATTTAAAGCAAGTAGCGGTTTAATGGCCGACAGCACCATTACACTATACATCAACATGCAGCCACGTTATAGATTTGGCTGCCAGCGTGCCACTTTACCAGCCCCGATTTCAAAGGGACAACAATCAATATTCATCAATAGTGTGTGTCAGCCACACTAATTTCCGCAGCAGTGTCTCGGAAGGCGAAAAATCGGCAGCGCGCGGCGGGGGACGTGCATAACCGCCTGTTTTCCTCTAACCTCTGGGGTGCGTAAGAACTGCAGGGAGTGATTCCCTCCGATCGGGGGGGGGGTGGAGGAAGAGCAGCTCAGAGCGAGTGCTATTGGAAACGAGTCGGGCATGCTCAGGTGCTGCCAGCTGTGAAAAAGCAGCAGGCGATTGTGGCTAGCTCAAAGCTCCGCTAACACGCTGAAGACATGGTTCAGGTCCATGGCTGTAAGGTTCAAGTCTGCGTTTTGGAGGATTAGCCGAAGAAAACGAACGTGGCCATCCGTGCAGTGTAGTGCTCTGCTCAGATTAGGCTAAAATTTAGCCTGGTTCTAGACGAAGAGGCGGTTTCAATGGTTAATCCCCATTAAAAGTGTGTCTGCAGAATCATCCCAAAGTAAATCAGAGGTTCCTCATGCTCTGTAAATCTTTTGAAGCCCTATTCAAGTTATTCAAGCTCCTTTTACATGGGGAGCTACTGTAATATAAGCATAGGTGTAGTTTCTAGTTTCACTCATTTTTATAATGTTACAGTTTTCTAGCTATGCATTATCGGATAAATACTGACATTAACATTAATTCCAACTTTATAACCTCCCTCCCGCTTAGGAAGCCAAAACTTTGACCTTGGATTTAGATAAATACAGATGACGTATGTGACGTTAATGCAGTACGAATCTGAGCATAGTTTACTATAAATGGCTGAACTCAATGCTCCCCTCTACACAATGAGCACAATTTACAATCAAAATCACAGATCGGCTGTGTCCAAGCAACTAGAACTTTTTACAAATGTCTAAAGGATTAGTAGTTTATCTACTTCATCATTTGTGGAGTTGCTAATGTCCAAAAGCAGCTCAAGCTGAGCTACAGCCATTTGAGTAGTAAGTCTCAGCTCCTAAATGAGGTAGTAAAACTTTCACCGTTCTCCTTTCGCTTTGCCAAAATTATTCACTGTATTTTAACAGAGCTGTTGTTACTTTACAGAAATAGAATATAAATTCACAAAAAAGATTACTTTTATATCACAAGCATTTGCATTTCATTTAATTGTTGTTAATGTTATTCTTATGGTAAAATACGGTATGTCAAAATACCTAGTCGATCTACAGTTAAAGGCAGTATCTTTAAGACATCTACTGATTTTTACCATCACTGAAAAAACATACTTTATTTGTTAATTATCAGGTTTTATCTGGCAGCCCAATGACTAGCAAACACAGCTTTGAACAGCTGTACACACATAAAATCATCATATTTTTTCATTAAAACGCAAAAAAAGCTGACTTATATGAGGAAAATATGTGTTTCTGTAGTAAGAAATCTTAATGTTCCACACTGATTTTCAGACTTTGGGACACATTTACTTTAAAATAATAGCACTTATTTGTTCACCATGTAGTCATGAGGCACAGGGATGCAGGGGCGTGGCTAAAATAAGGCTCTGCCTACATACTAAAACTATTTTGGTACTGACATGAAAACGTGGGACAGCTTTTTTTTTTTTTAATTAAACTCATGAAATATCTATATCCTTCAAATTCACTCTAAATGAAATTAAAAAGATATTCCAAAAAAAAAATAAATAAATAAATCATAACATAATCCTAATATCTAAGGTCTGAATCCTTTATGTATTTATTTATTTTAATGTGGGACTGCAGTTTAAACTAATGCAGTAAAACGGTTCGTATACATTTCCAGACTTTTTACTCAACTCTGCCAAGAGAAGAGTAGACGCAACCATTGGGAAATCTTGGTTATACAACGACATTGCTAATGCTGTAAGCACACGTCGTGTTTTCTCATTGTTAAAAAAGGGCACTTTGATTCTCCATGATTTACTCATCCTGTTTTACACAAGACAGCCCATAGCAAAAAAAGAAAAAAGAAAAAACTGAGCAATATAAAAACACTGAGGCTCTATTTAAACGGCCTAAACACTCTTTCCCAGTTGTCTTGCTTCCCCTCCCTTTTCATTCCCCTTCACATTATTCCCAAGAGCACAGAGTCGCTCCAAACAGGAACCGAGCATTAGGATACAAAGCGGCACGTCGCTTCCCTTCAGAGTGACGCCAGCCAAGAGATGGAGAAAAGCCTGACACCCGAGAACAGCAGAGTAAAAAGCCAAGGAGATGCATTTTATTTATAAAGCTCTCTAATCCAGGCCGCCTGCCTCTCTGGCTTTTTTCCCCTGTGATGCATTTTTGAAGTCCCATCTTTTCTACGGCGCAGCGGCGGCAAAACAACATCCCCCGGCCAGCGCGGGGGCAAATTGCTAGTTCGCGAGTGCTGGAGCACTGGAAACTTAGAGCTGGTGCTCTGCAGACTCATGTGCCCTTTCTGGTCATCGAAGCTGTGATAGTCCTCCCAGAGGTGTTAGAAAGGTGTTAAAGTGTGCGCTGTTGCGAGCTCCCCTCACGCGGCGCTAAAAACCCCGAGAGCACGTCAAGGTGGTTTTCAGGGTTGTGGAAACAGTACTTATTGTGTTAAGTTGCGGGAAGCACGAGTACGGGCGGCCCTGCCGGAAGTCAAGGGCCTGACACCAATTTCCAGAGGGCCCGGAAGGTGGTCACCTGCTGCTTGTTTGCTCGCCGGTGTTTAAATAAGCGTAAAAGTTGCCGCGCGCCTGGCTGCCCGTATTCCCGAAGAGGGACGAGGGAAATTTGATCTCAGTGCTAATTGATGACTTCCTGCTGTGACAACTCAAAGGCTTGATTAGGTAGCGGAAGAAAAACGCAAAGGGCGGCATGAATGGTGACTGGCGCCCCGCTGCAGGGAAGGAGCTTTTAGAAGGCAAACAGGGTGCAGTCAGCAGGTAGTGATGGCATTGGATAAAGCAATCACATAGCACACCTTTGAGGTTGTTGACTGCATCGCTTGAAATCTCTATCCATAATCGTCCTTTTAGCTATCAACATGATCATGTTCCAGTAGTTCAAATAAAACACACAATGAAAATCTATACAAGACATTTTACAACGCTAACATAAATGATATCAGCAGTGCATTTGGATCTGTTGTATTCCCATTAGCAGCACAATACATC